GTGAATGAAAGGAAGGGGGATATTTCAGCTCCTTATTTGGGAAGAAATCCTTCCACTTTGTCACGTAGACAGAAGCAAAGAATGATACAATAAGGGACAGTATTTTGCTGCATATTCAATTTTCACGGGCAAATAAATGATATACACTTCATCACTTTGATTAATATATGTAGTTACATGCATGTAAATAACCATGATATAAATATAGAATATGCTTAACCCGTGCTAAGAAATAAGTCTCATTGTTGAAGAGTTTCTGGACCTACATATCTTTCTTCTAATTATTTATGTTCGTATAGTTACAGGCATGTAAATAGTCATTGATATAAACATAGAATATGCTTAACCTGTGGTATAACATAAGCTCTGACGGTTGAAGAGCTTGTGGACCAATTAGATCTTTCTTCCGATTAATTTCTGTTCATATACATGGCACCCCTTCAGTGCCTTGTTAACACATCTTGTTTTCTATAAAAATCTCTGCTGCCAATCATTTCCAGTAAAGCACCTAGGTCCATCTAGGTGGGTTGTTCCTGTTCTCCATATGGGCACATAGAAGCTGATAAACTAGAAATTTTCCAAATGCTTCACATACTCACCCGAAATCAGTTTTATAAAGCAAGCTACATTAAATGTTGAATAAGCAATTCGGAATCATCTGATTCTATACTCTTCTTGTTTCCTTTTTGACACACTATAATGTAATGAGGCAACAATAAGGGACACCTGACAAGGACAATCCATTAAAGAATTTGATCAGAAAGCTTCCTACACGTTTTGTTTCATTCTATTATTCTTGAGTGAGATATTACTCATCATAGACAAAAGAAAATTGGTTGGGAGCACGGATGGTGCTTCCCTTGTAAACTTGAAAATTTATATAATTTTTAGTGAAGACTTACATAATGTTTTAAGACTTTTTAAAAAAATATTATTTTGGTACCACATAGTTTATGATTACAAATCGATTGGTAAAAAAAAAGTGGGTTTAAACAAAAACTTGCATATATTAAAAAAAATTTGACACAAAAATCTTCTATAACATGACAACTCCAATAAAAAAGAGGACGAGCATAATAACAAATATATAGCAACCTTTTCTTTTTCAAAAGAAAATAATCATCTATTCGCAAACAGCACGGGTGTGTAACCCATATACAGAAACTTATAGCAACCAGAAAAATTATTTATTTATAGAAAACTTTTACTAGTGCACCCATTGCTTAAATGCTCTCAGTCCCCTCGTCAGAGTCTCCTTTTCTATCTGCTTTCCTATATAATTTTTCCCTCTGACTCATAACGCTCCTGTCTCCACTTTCATGTCTCACTCCGTAGGCCATGTTTCTTGGAATTGCTTCTTTTTAAAATAAAAAGTGCGAAAAGTATATTAATATAGGCGCCAAGGGGATACCTCATGCACAAAATTACAAGTCAATCAAAGTATCAACAAGATCCACCAAATCCTTCATAGAACAAATAGGATGACCTCGTAATAAAAAACTAAAGGTCTAGAACCATACATTTTTAAGGATATCAAAACCATCAACATTTTCAACCCCATCAAAAGTTCTTTTGCTCCTTTCTCTCCACACCACCCAAAAGAATGTTTCTTGAAATTCTTTTTTCCAAAAACCTTAATTTTTTTTAATGACCAGGAAATATTGGAATTTTACTTCTTTGCTTACCCTTATTGAGTACTTTATGGCTGGTCCAATTTTTTTTATAAACTTTATGGATGGTTCAATAGTGAACTTTAGAGTGTGGACATTAGACTACCTCAGTATCTACACTTGTAAATATTTCCTTGAATTCCTTATCTGCCTTCCCATTAATCAAAATGCGGTCTTCAATGGTGTTTTTTTGGAGGATGAAAGCTCCCATTAAGGTTTATGTTCAGACTGCTTAAATTGAATTAACACTAATATCCTTATTGATATGTAAACACCTTGCACATGAGCCGAAACTCCCTTGGTGCTTGTGAATTAATTTTTTTAAAATAAAAAATATAAAGTATTATTAAATACAAGCACCAATTGCATAAAAACTCATGTATAAAGAAATATTTACATATCAACCAAGATATCTATCAAATCACCAAAATCCTCTATAGAGTACAAAGGTTGACCCATAATAAAAAATCCCAAAGTATGAAACCATCTCGCTCTAATCTTATTAATATCCTCTTCCACCCCATCGAGCGTCCTCCTATTTCTTTAGTGCTTGTGAATTAATGATACAGACTATACTTTTTATGTCAAGAAAATTGTAGTTGTACCATAACTTGTCATGCATCACTAAGTATCTCCAATAATAAATGCATAAAGATTCTAATCACAAAACTTTACCTATGATGTAAATATTTTGTAAATGAGCGGCACTCCCTTGGTGCCTTTTTATTAGTTCCATTTGTTTATCTCAAGAAAAAAAATATTCGAATTACAAAACTATCTCATAATATTGAAATATTTCCACTCTAGGATATTTGCTTCATAAATTAATGGGTTGTCTCAAACAAGACTTAACCCCTCACGGACCTTGACTCTCAAACTAATAACCTGATTATAAACACAAGACCATGACATTTGTTCCGTTTTCTGTTTTTTTTTTTTTGGCTATTGCAGGAGGATGTACGTTCTCTTTTTCGTATTTCTTATGATATTTCTTCTTTTATTGCAAAAGAAAGCTTCAAATACCAATTACTCATGTGAAGCCTGAAATATGACAACTATGAAAGTAAAACACATATCTAACACCACACCAGTACTCTATGTTCACCAGGGCCAAAAAAAAATATATTGAAAATCCCTAGTAATTACAAGACTCTCATGATATTGAAAAGCTTTAAGCAGAAGTCTTCCCCCTAAATCCTACGGGGGTGATTCTTAGCAGAGAAAATGGAATGCATAAGAATGAATAGTTATTTTTTCTAATAGCTTCAGATAAGAACCTGGATCGTCTCTGATAGAATTTCGATGGTTTCTTGAAAACAAAACTGTAAATAATAAGAGCAAGAATGAGAAGTTTCAAATAATAAAACAAACAGCCAGAAAGCAGGTAGTAATACCCAGAATTGGGACAGCTGGAGTATACGAAATCTTAATACCTATATTCATCACTGTATCCATATGAGAAAACTATGTCTGGATACTCCTCCAACACAGCAGCCGCGGACCAATTCATTAATTTCAGAGCTTTCTCATCATTTGGTTTCTCAAATTCATGAACTTCAGAAAATCTACCAAGATATACACAAAAGAAAAAACAATAAAATCTAATTCAAAATAGATTATTTTTTTCCTTCCCAGATCAGCAAGACCCGAGTAATAAAAATCTTGGGTCCTACTATTGCAGTATCTTTCAGAAGTATCATGGACGATCTTACCAAATGACAGTATTCACATTTGAGAAATAATTCTTACAGCCATAACATAGGTGATCAAAAAATAAAAAAGTAATTGCAACCTCATTTGGCATGTCGAGGTTGTAGAAGTCAAAAAATTATATCACAAACTCGAATTCTTCAACTTCTTGATGCAGCTGTCATCTCAGGTCAGACAGAACCAATGCTAACACGTGAAGCAAGCATAGACTAGACCCTCATTCTTGTGTATGAAAAGATATTTGGAATTTCAGTTTGATGAAATATATTCATAGTCTGTTATACTTATAACAAGCTGTGTTTCCATAGAATTCCACCTCAAGGTGCACTCTCTCTTCAATAAATAAACATCAACAATGAAATCAAAACTACGTGTGCATAGAATTCAACTTCAAGATAGACTCTCTCTTCTATAAATACACATCATCAGTTAAATCAAAGCCCATCAATTTTAAACTATTTTGAAAATTTACATGATACGAGAGCGTGTTCCTCTTCCTAATTTTTTTTGAGACAAAAAACTAGTATATTACATATGAGGCAACAAGGGGGTGCTGCCACTGTACAAAATATTTACATGCCTAATAAAACATCAAAAAAATTTCCAAATTCATCCCACCTATATACATCATGACCTAGAATTAGAGTCCCAAAAGTATATATCCATTTATCTCTAATTCTACCCAAATCCCCCACACATCATTCAAACACTCTATTGTTTCTTTCTTTCCACACCACCCATAATATAGTTAAAGGAATGAGTTTTAAAATTTTCTATTTCTTACATATCCCATCCCAAGCCTAAAGCTCATTTTTCACCGTACCCCCAATTACCCAATTGATACCTAATAAACTATACACCATAGTTTATAAATTGTATGTCACTAGACACCAAGGAAGTAGATGATTGCATGATTCAACCACTTCCTTGCACAAGTAACAATCATTAACCATAATGTGGCCCCTTCTCATCAACTTTTCAATGGTGAAGATGCATTCCTGACCCACTTCCTAGGCAAAAAAATCCTCTTCCTAATATGAGTTCCACCACTGAGTCTTCTACTTCATCTCCTTTCTCTCTTTCATTCCCATCAAAATTCTCACCCTTTATTTGGAGTCTCCATCCAAGAAATGTTGTCAGCGAAACCCTCAACATCACCAATTTCCTCATATGAAAATCTCTAATAGGAAAGCTAACCAAATTCCTCAATATCACCAATTTTTTCAATAGCATATTAGTTACCTTCCATCATATGAAATTTTGTCAATATGAGCTTGTTGCAGAATATCCTATTGACAAAATTTGTTCTGAATGATCTTGTTGCTTTGCACTATTTCCGGGCTATCAAGGTCACATATAACAAAAGGTATCTTCCAAGACCAGACCAGAAAGATAATTAATATGCTTGGGAGTTCCTAATACAAAGTGGATTTGAAAACTGCAAAACAAGCTCCTTCTCATGTCAGCTTTAGGAGAAATTGCCCTAAGGTTTCAAGTCACTTGTAGCCAATTCTACATTATATCACAACTTGGTAGGGACACCACAATATCTCATTTTTACTCATCCATAACTTGTTTTCAAGTTAACTAAGCATATCAGCACATGCGTGGCCCAAGAGTGAATCATCTTCAACCAGCTAATTGCATTTTCTGCAATGTTCTGGCGCGATTAACCATGGACTTCAATTATATTATGATTCCTCACAAAATGCTCACTGGATATTTTTTTGTTGACTGGTGAGGCATGTATCTAGATGCTTGTCACTTCATAAGAAGATATTGCATTTTCCTTGATTCCTAGTTGGTTTCTTGGAGTGCCAAGAAACAACCTATAATTCCATATTACAGTGCATAAGTGGAGTATCGCGCAATAGTCTTTATAGTAGCTGACTTGAGCTATATCTGGAATTGCTTCGTGGGCTACGTTTTCCTTTGAAAGCCAAAGCTATACTCTGGTGTGGCAATGTAAATGCGGCTTACATGACTCCAAATCCAGG